ACTTCATTTTTCCTTCATATATCACTTTACTCAAATCAAATCAAATACTGGTTACATAAACATTATTCAATATACAAATATCGATAACTACTCTTGTAGTAAAACGGTTTCCTTCAAAAGAATTTGAATGGCCACTACAAGTGTCGGCACATTTATACAACCTACAATATCATTTTTTACCTATAATATTATAAACAGTATCCATATTTATTTTCTACCTATAATATTATATAATCGGTCCCAGATCCTTCTTGACTTTGATTCAAAATCCCCAAACCAAACCTAAAAACCCTAATCCCTATTTCCTTTAAACGAATGGGAACACTCAATACTCCAAGTATCGACACATTTATACAACCTATAATATCATTTTCTACCTATAATATTTAATAAAAGTATCGATATTTATATTTTACCTAGAATATCACTTTCTACCTGTAATCGGTCCCAAATGTTTCTTTACTCCAAAATCTCAAACAACATATAAAAACCCTATTTCCGACTACTGTAATAATAAAAAACTAGGGTTTCGACAACGTACTTTTCGATTCGACTGCAGCAACAAACAAACAAACTTCGCTTTAGAAACGCCTTCTGAAATGTAGCAACAATTACGCTTCGATTTCAAAAACTCGTCCGTTCTATCTATTTTTCACAGGATATTTAACTATGCCCTTTATATTTTCACCGGATATGTTATTTATATTTAATCGATACAACTACCAAAGTGTCGATACTTTTATGTTATGTGTCGATACTTTCGATAGCATAATTACCTATTTCTTTGAAAGTATCGATAATTTATTACGCATACTTATTAAAGTATCTACACTTTCAATATATCCGGTAGCTCTTTACCGGTTTTGTCATTTCTAGACCGGTTTTGTCATATTTTTACTGTTATATCGTTATGGATTGATACATTTTTATAAAGTATTAACATTTTATAGGCGTTAAAACTGTTTCTCTTTTAAATTCACAAAGTGTCATACTTATATCAAAGTATCGGCACTTTCAATATATCCGGTAGCGCTTTACCGGTTTTGTCTTTTCGAGTCCGGTTTTGTCATATTTTACCTGTTGTATTGTTATGGATCGATATATTTTTATAAAGTATCGACACTTTATAAGCGTTAAAAATGTTTTTCTTTTAACCAAAGTGTCGATACCCATGTTAAAGTATTGACACTTTCAATATATTCGGTATCGCTTTACTGTTTTTGTCATTTCGAGACCGATTTTGTCATATTTTTACCTGTTATATCGCTATGGATCGATACATTTTTATAAAATATCGACACTTTATAGGCGCTAAAACTGCTTCTCTTTTAAATTCACAAAGTGTCGACACAAACTTAAAAAGTATCGACACTTTCAATATATCCGGTAGCACTTTACGGTTTTGTCATATTTTTACCTATTATATTGATATGGATCGATACATTTTTATAAAGTATCGACACAAACCGACAAGCTAAGTTTGTCGGTTGTCAAATTTTTAATATTTCTTCATGATTTAAACCTACTACATTATTATTACTCAATATTTCCGGTAGCGCTAAATCAAATTTGTTCAATATCTTTTAATATATCCGATAACATCGTATATTAACTGTATATTAACCTGTATTTCCTGAGATAATTTTATGGTTGATTCGTAGAAAGGATAACCTCATTCCAAGGTCTGTACTAATATGGGTCCCTTGATTGCTTATTGCATCGTACTGTGTTTGCCAATCTTGCCAGTTAAGGGTCTTTTGTCTGTTTTCAAGGCTCCTTGCCCTTGCCGGAGAGGGACAACGACGGTTTCCACAATGAGAATGCCAAATTGTTCCACCTTCTAAATTGCAACTTGAGTACAATAACTGGGGCAAGACAAGGGCTGCTGCTTTCTGCTTTGAATAAAACCAAGTTTCAATTCACGTCATGGTGAAAATCACTTAGTTGTTGATGGAAAATCTATAGTTGTCAGATTCGTGATGATTTATCCCTTTTGATTTTAATAGAGAGTTGCAGATGATTTTATAAGATAGATGTGGGGTGTATATAATCTGAAGAAAATAATAATGATATCAATTGAGAAATTAAAGGTCCAGGATCTCTTCTCTAGTCATACATGGTAACTTATGTATTAACCCTTAATACTGGTGTCAAATTTTGAAAGTACAATTTCATATGTATGGAAGATAACATATTTGATTTAGACAGATCACGTGATCTTATTAGTAGTCATGTCAAGGGATCGTGGTGGTTGAAGAATATGAAATTTTGAAGGTTTCCAATATACAATGTTCAACATCATACGACCTTATAGATATCATGAGAACTATCTTGTGCCTCTAATCCTATGAAAGTTGAGTGTTTTATATTACATATATTTACTCTTTATTTTTCGATTTGTTATTACTTGATTTATCTTTATTTTAGGTTTGTTTTGGATAGGAGTTTTATTTGATTAATTAGTTCAAAAAGTAGCATATTTATATTGGATTTTTATCATTTTATTTACTTAGAACTTTTGGGTTATAAATACGTTCAAGCCTTTGAACTCATATTGGAATTTATATTTTCTTGGCTATTTATTGAAGTTATACTTTTCTTTTATCTTTTTACTTTTATTTCATTATTTTCCTTTCACAATGTTAAGCATGATCCAATCCATGTTTAGCTAAATCTATTTTAGCTAATAGCTGAGCAACGATTCAATCCGTTTTGTGAGAATTGAAAATGCGCTTCACATCTTCAAAGTTCTTTCTTGATTTTCGACAAACAAAGTTAGATAATCGACTTAATCTTTAAATTCTTTACACTTTCCATTCAAAGATTGCACTTTGGCTTGAATATTGTTTTGATTTACCTTGGGGAGGAGAACGGCTTGTAGCAAATTCAAATCCCTAAGAACAAACTTAGCGTGATCCGCTAAGGGAAATCAAGATCGGGTTCGATTCTCATTGAGACGCATAGTCTGAGCACATGTTTTTCCATCATTAAGGAATATATTGGCGTTAACATCGATAGTCGAAGTTAAATCCAAAGAATGATTAATTTTCAAGAATTGATTTTGGGGATTAATTCACATGAGAAAGAGCAAATTACAAGGGTTGTACATTGTAGACTGTAATAGGTAAGATTTCGAAGTAAAATCTATTTCAAGGATCAAGACGAGTCGAGTCAAAGCAAAGCTAGAGGATATCTCATATCATTATCTCTTCAATTATTTATTTTTATTGCTTTGTTATTTTTAATTATTTTAGTTTATTCAATTAAATTAGATAAACCCCTTTTATTTTATTTTTCAGATTTTCTGGTTAGAGATCAAATCAGATTTAATTGGAAATTCCTTAGTCCCTGTGGATCGACACTATTTCTCTATACTATTCTATATTTTATTTTATTTATTTAAATTGAGAATTAGGTTTATTTATTTGACAGTTACTACGTTTGTCAAAAGTTAAACTCAAAGCACAACATGTCTTCTTCTTTTGCATCTAATCCGATACCTCGAACCCGTCCAACGTTCGTTCCTTACTATTTTAATAATTTCAAAGAAGACTCCATTTTCAGTATCTCACATTAACAGGGATGGATCGATGGGTGCTAAAAATTTTAAAACCTCTTATATTTTAAGTATTTTTCTTATATTTTATATGAATTATCTAATTTCGCACCCCTTGAGGCTTTATAATTTGGCACCCCCTATATTTTTAATATAATTTCTTAAATTCACACCCTCTTACATAAATTCATGTGTTCGTCTCTGCTCACATGCAACCTAGCTCCAGCCCGTCAGCATATTGATACATGGCAATTTCTTTTTCTTTAACTTAGATCTCAAATTATAAAACCACATTTGAGTTGATAACATTAAGTTAAAACTTGAAGGAACAAGATTTAGCATCATTTCATCCCGAAGAAACAAATAAACGCAGCTAAAGTCGAGCACTTTGTGACGTTCCATTAACAAAATGCCACTATACCGTCGCCAATAACTACGGTTTTTATGAACAAACGCCACTAAAAGTAGCCGAGAAAAATGGAATCAATCGACAATTTCATGATCTGAACATACATGTACAAGGCCATCTTTTTATCAAGTTCTGACCAAAGTCTCATCTTAGCATGATCATCTGTTTGCTCCCTTCATTCGATTCTCTACAAATTTGTTACTTTTCCCATCTAAATTAACAGCATATGCATGAAAATGTTGAAAACAATTTGTCAAACAACAAAGTGCCATTAAATCGAATTCAACGACCTCAGTCGATGATATCACCGGAATCCAATCGTACATTACGAACAAAGCATTGGTTATCTCTAAATAGTGAACTCAAAAGGGTACCAATTAAAAACTTTGTTGTTATCTTTTTTCCGGGTTTAAATAACATGTACGTAAAAATACGAGTCTTTATTATCAAATGGTTGAAAGTCTTTGAACATATATTATCTTGTATTCACCCTAGATTTATCAAAAAAAAGTTTTTTTTGTATTTTAATTTGATAAATTAGGTTTTTATTATTATTTATAAGGTCTACCTTTAAGGATAATAATTTAATTTGAATTTGATGATTTTTTTATTTAATTTAATAAAATTAGTTTAAATTTTGGTTTCAGTGCAGGCCTGGTTAAGATTTAAGATAAAAAAACTTTTGGCCGGTCCAAAATAATAATATAATTTTATTTATATATTCAAAAATTTGTTATAATATCATATCTCTATAAATTTTCGATTGGGTTCTATCTACCGAAAAACAAGAATTTTTTATATTTGCGTTAGGTTGGTGTAGGTTTTCACTCCAAATTTCAGGTCATATATGACCTCTTTTAAATGAGTTTATAAATAAGTCGATAAATGAATTTATAAACGAACCGACACACCTATATTCATATTCATTTGTTTATTAAATGAATATAAAAAAATTCTCATACTTGTTTATTTAACTGAATAAATGAACATAAACGAACCTATTCAAAGGCTTTGTTCATCTACCAACTAATTAAATCATTCAATGATGATAAAGATATGGATGATAGACGAGAAAGAAGGAGCCCCTCTTCACGCCCTCATAATTTGGAATGTCCTCCATTGCCTACATCATTTGTGTTCTTCTGCTCATCAGCTCTTTCTAAAAACTATACTTTCTTCTTCAACCATCTTACTCTCTAACATTATATATATATATATATATATATATATATATGTGTGTGTGTGTGTGTGTGTGCATTCCCTGTCTGGAAATACTAACCCATGGTGTAAGATGGGGTTGGTAAATTGATGACGGTGCTCTTGATCTTTGTCATCATTTTAATGCTGTTGGCAACTCCCTGTGATCCTATTCCACTGTCTTTCAAACCCTGTTATGAATGCATTTTGTTTCAAGTTTCTTCATAAAGATGATCCATGTGTGGGGTTTAATGGAGATTTTATTTACCTGAAACGGGAAATGATCCGGTCCACGAGCCGGTGCCGAATTAATCTGAACCGTTCCGGTCTCCATTGCATCACTGATCAATATTGCTTTGTTGATATCCTTGGTGAATACACATCCCTGCAATTTTGCATATGCAATTTTCATTATCATTGGGAAATTTGATGAGTTTGTTATAATGTATGTGTATAAGTATGTGCCTGGAGTCCAAAGTTGCTAGCATTGCAATGGTGGATTCCTTCTTCAATGGTGTTGATCCTTATAACCGGCAGAACCGGGCCAAACGGTTCCTCCCATGCAATCCTCATATCGGGACGAACGTTGTCTAACAACAATGGCCATATCAGATTGCCATCTCTGTTGTATTCCTGACAAAATGTAGCTCCTTTCTCTTTGGCATCCTTTACTAGTCCTTCAATGAAATTCGCAGATGTTTCCGACACAACGGGAGTGATATCGCAGTCGTCCTCCGGTGGACCGACCTTTAACTTTGCTATTTCCGCATTCACTTTCTCGACAAGAGCATCGGCAATTGATTCCATCACCAGGACAACTTTAACAGCAGTGCATCTTTGGCCGCTGTAGGAAAATCCTCCTTTGATTATGTTTGCGGCGACCAAATTTATGTCGGCGTCTTCGAGTACGATACATGCGTCTTTTCCTCCCAATTCCATTTGAAGAGGGATCATTCCGGCCTTCTTCGAGATAGCAATACCAGTGTCTCCACCAGTGAAGCTGAGCAAAAGAAGATTGCAACATGTTACTAATGGATGATCAATGGGGCTTACTGTATCCGAAAATTGAATCCGATTTTACCTGATACAATTAACTCCAGGATGCATAGTGAGGAAATCGCCAATCTCGGATCCTTTCCCGGTCACACAACTAATGAGCCCTTTGGGAAATCCAGCCAAGTGAAAACAGTGCACCATATGAAGAGCAGAAACAGCACCCTGCAGGAACATCCATCACTTGCTTGCAACTTACGTTATATCAGATTGTTGTTTTCGTCGAATACCTGTGTAGGCGGCTTGAGTACAAGCGAGTTTCCGGCGATTAGGGCCGGTGCAATCTTCGAAACAGCTAGGTTGACAGGGTAATTAAATGGTGGAATGGCCAGAATCACTCCAAGTGGAATCTGCAACTTCGAATCGTAAAATACACTACGAAACATACAAGATACGAACAAACACAACAATCGAGTTTACCTTGGAAGTGAGGCAATACTTGGTTCTTTCATTGCCTGGAAAGCTATCAGATATCAAGAATTTGCCTTCTCCAAGAATCCTAACACCCTCTTCAGCAGTGTAAGAAACCAGATCCCCAGACCTTACAACCTTAAAGAAATCAAACGAAAACAAGGTTGTCTTAAGCTGATTCTGCTCACTTTTGATGAAACAAAAAAGCTAAGATTTCATATTAAGTAGGGCAGATTTATATAATTCTAGGGTCAGAAAATATATTATTAATACAAAATATAAGAAAAATATCTAAAATATACGATAATTTGAAATTTTCAGAGGGGATCTCCTCCAACAGCCTGACCGCCCCCCTCCGTCCATCCCGAGCTCATAGACAAAAGCTTTATACCTCAGTAACTGCATCTTTGACTGGTTTAGCAATCTCCTTAACCAGACACTCAGCAATCGGTGCTTTATGTTCCTTCAAAATGGCTGCAGCTTTGTGCAGCAGCTCGGCTCGCTTCCAAAGTGGAGTCTTGGTCCATAATTTTTGTGCTGTTTTTGCGGAGTCCATGACCTTGTTCACTTCTTCTTGTGTACAAGCTAGTTCATAAGCATCCATGAACATTTAACTTCATCAGTGTATACGTACACATACATGCATGCATACATATATATACATACATACCTTGAACCCTGTACTGAGTTTTTCTTGATGTTGGATTGATGATGGCAACGGTTTTAGCTGAAGAAGAGTTCTTCCATTCCCCGTCAGCATAGTACTTGTAAACATCTCTATCCAGTATCTCCGCAAACACTCCAGTCCCAGCCATTATGGAAATCAAGAAAAGAAAGGTTTTGAGTGAGCAGTGAGTCGCCGAGTGTCTGGTGTGATTTGATGTTAAGACTCGACTCGAGTGTATATATATAGGGAGATGGTGAGCCACTCCTTGCTTTGGTTGCAGCTACCACAGAATGTGTTATGAGTTTGGTGGTTCATATTGTGCCAAGCTATATAAGTAAACCAGTTTTTATTAATAAATTAAATACCGACTATTATATCAAAATTAATACTTTTGTTGATATTATAAATTACTTTCTTTTTAATATTTTTTTCTTCAATTTTTCAGTTATCCAACAGCATGTGGAACGTGATGAAAGGTGCGAGAGCATGACAGCCACAAAACTGAATTAAAGTATATTGTTGGGTGGGTTTATCCTTATGGATGGGAATATCATTTACCAGGGAACTTTCATCCTCACCGTTGCCATACCTTGTATTATCCTGCATAAACTGCTGTGCCACTTACGGATAGATAACTTGACACCAGTTCGACATATCTAGATTCGACTCGATCATATTAGTTTTTCTAAAAAATTTTAGTTCAAATCAAGTCGGATTAGATTTTTTAACTTATTGAGTTGGTTCGCTCCTATGTTTATGGTGAATAAATCTGACTCGACCGAAATAATATTATAGTTATCTTTTATATATTTAGAGATAATTTTAATAATATATTTCTATATTATTATTTTTTTCAATTAGGCCCTTGTTTTATCTAATAAAAATGAATCTTATATAGATCGAATCAGATATTATTTTCATCTAAAAATCAGATCTAATAAAATCTTCCCTAACTCAAATTAGAACAGATTTAAATGGACCAAAAACACGACCCAAACCATACCAATCCCTAATGTATCTCCCCTTTCGCCTTGTTGCGAGTCATGTTGTTTGAAATTTTTATTTTTTATGGAGTATATATGTTTTTTATTATCAATTTGAAGTGAGTACAAGTAGAAACGGAGCTAGAATCAAATGTTGAAGGGATAAAATTGTTTTATATCAAAAGAATAAAAATCTATCAAGTATTTAATCTAAAAATTGGGAAGGACAAAGATCTTATTTGACTAATATTTAAATTAAAAATGACTTAAAATGCAATTATACAAAAAAAAACGATTATATAGCATCGTTCCTGAGTACAAGATAGTAATTGTTCAAAGACTCAACTATTTGACACTGAATACTTGTATTTTTACATATATGATACATGAACTTAAAATTTTAAGAAATAATAACAATTTTTAACCACTAAAATTGATTAATTTGTACATTCTATTAAGAGTATGTGACCTTTAAGCATTCTATTCATTTTGTCTCCGTATAAATTATAGAGAAAATAACTTCAGTGACCGAAATGCCTTATAATATACGATTTTAACTAACTTTTTTTGGATTTGCGAAAATGACCAACAAATTCGCAACGCGAACTCCAATTTCGCAACACAACTCAGTTTTGAAATTTGCAACTCGAATTTCTTTTCCGCAACGCGATTTTCCAAATTCGCAACGCGAATATGTAAATCGCAACGCGAATTTGTAATTCACAACACAGAAGTCAAATTCGCAAAGCGCGTTTATTTTCGAATTCGAAAAACAATATTAATTTCGCAACACAAATGTAAACAATATAATCGTAACTCATAACCTAAAACTCTAAATCACAACTCAGTCTCATCTCCATCTCTCACTCTCTACGACGACATCCGTCCCAATATCCGGCGACCCCCCTCTATCTCCATATCTTAAGCCACCCTCCCTCTCACAACTATTCATGGCCACAAATGGAAAATCAACCACCGAGGGTTAGTTTTTTTAATTATTTTTATTTTTAAATTTTTGTATTATTATTAGATTTTTCATATTTAAATTGATGATAAATTTAATGGTAATTTCAATATATAGATTAATCATTTTACTTAGATTGCTTAGTAAATTCATTTGGTTACTGTCAATACTGCTAAACTATTTAGTCTTTAACCCTGTGAAGTTAGTATTTTGGTTGAAGTAATGCAATTCATTCAAGTTTCAATTTGCAGAAGAATAGTTTTTGAAACTTAAATTCGCAACACGAAAATGAAATTCGCAACACGAAAATTACAACGCGATTTTAGTTTCGCGTTGCGAGTTTCATTTTCGTGCTGTGAATTTAAGTTTCAAAAACTACTATTCTTCTGCAAATTGAAACTTGAATGAATTGCATTACTTCAACAAAAAAACAAAGACAAATATAACTTCACAGTGTTGCGAATTTAAGTTTCAAAAATAAACTACTACTCTTTATGTTGTCCTTGAACCTGCACTAAACCTATATGTTATCCTTTTAAATATTTATATAAGTGCTTACTTCTAGAATTTTATCTGATGCATTTTGTGAACTATGATAGAATAATGACTTGGGTGAATACCGTGCTAGTTTTAAACATATTTGGCTATATTTTCCCTGTTTAATATCATGTCTGTTTATAGTGTATAATTTGTAGTTTTTGGTATATCTAACTTGGTATGTTTATTGTTTTTGTTAGGATTTTTTTGCAAATTGAAACTTTAATGAATTGCATTACTTCAACCAAAAAACAAAGACAAATACTAACTTCACAGTGTTGCAAATTTAAGTTTCAAGAATAAACTACTACTATTGTCCTTTTAAATGTTTATATAAGTGCTTACTTCTGGAATGTTATCTGATGCATTTTGTGAACTATGATGGAATAATGACTTGAGTGAATACCGTGCTAATTTGAAACATATTTGGCTATATTCCAGTTTAATATCATGTATATTTATAGTGTATAATTTATAGTTTTTTGTATATCTAACTTGGTATGTTTATTGTTTTTGTTAGGATTTTTTTCGCTTTATTGACTTTAAGGAATAAATTAAGCCTAGCCACTACAATTGCGTCGACACTTACACATGTACAAAGAAATTTGTTTGAGAATACTTGTTTGGGACATGGCTGAAAGTACAACATCCAGGTGGAGATGCTATGTTGACCCATTTGTTTCTTCAGACCATGACTAACAATCTACCCGAGAGGATATAATGTGGTGATGAAGAGATATAGTTTCATTTTCCACCGGCGTATACTTGTTTTGGGCGGGAGGAGTTTTTCTTAATCACTGGTCTACGCTTCGGACGACACGATGAAGTAGGTCGGTACACTAGTCATATCGCCCGCCCATCATGATTATTTTGGGTTTTTCTTGAGCTGGCAAAGGTGAAGCCTAGTTTACACGTCGATGATTTGAAAAGATTACTTCTTAAAGATGGTTTTACTCGGATGGATGACCTTGATGTTGTCCGAGTATGCCTATTATTACTTTTGAATGTCGTCTTTTTAGGCAAAGAGGGCAGACAACCTATTTCTGAGGATTTAATATTATTGGTAGAGGACCTAAATGCATGAAACGTATTTCCGTAGGGTTCATATCTATGGAAAGCTACCTGAAAAAAGTTATCGTATACCTTTAAGGACCGTCGTAGTTTGCGTGGCCATAGTTCTAAATACACTTTGGTAGGATTTATTTGGGCCTTTAAGGTAAGAATTTCTATATAATGTTTCCAAAATTATAATTAATTATTTAACAATTACTAAAATTAATGTTTGTGTATTATATTGTTTGTAGATTTGGATATTTGAGGCTTTTCCCAGCATGCATACATATGCAATCAAAAATTCAAATGATATTCCTAGGGCTATTACCTGGAGAAGGATCCGACTGTTGGATTGGGAAGATTTACTATCATATACGACGATGAATGATGTAAGTTAACATAAATACTACCATATATAAACAAGTTATTACTAGTAGACGTTTGACTTTGTTTGAGCTTTTATATTGTTAGGAGGCAAACTAGCCATTACAAAGGCTGACACCCACAGAGGCTGAGCTTGCCACTGATTGGTGGCAAGCTAGTAAGCGTTTTTTTGATAGGACGGATGATAAGCACCCCCACTTCGAGAGCCATAACCTGATCGATCCGATTCTATAGTTCGACACCGAGAGTCATCACCTGATCGAGCCGATTATACACCTCCACACCGAGAGCCATCACCTATTCCATCACATCATCGAGCCTCTTCTCCACCATCACCTCATGATAGGCGACCGACAAAGATGCCACGACATTTATCTACCCGTTCTCCACCTCCACGGGATGATTTAGGAGAGTTACGTGATGAGGTCAGTGCTTTGCATGATGAGGTCAGTACTTTACGTGATAACAATGTTGCTTGGCGTGATGAGGTACGATCTTTACGTGGTGAGGTAGTTGTTTTACTCGATGACAATGGTGTTTTACGTGGTGAGGTATTTACTTTACGTGATGAGGTAGCCGCTCTACGTGAGATTGTTTCATCGTTGCAGAATGAGGTTCATACTCTACGCAATGAGGTAAGTTTGTTTAATACTATACTAAAAATGCAAATAACCTTTTTCGACATTATTTATTTATTTACTGATTTATGTATTAATTTATTTTTAGCGGCCCGATAAGGTAGATGTTTTACGTCAGGTTTTTCTTGCACGACGGGGTTCACGCATCAGAAATCGTGGACGTTCCATTACGTCTCCTTTCACCCCAATAGTTCCAAGACTGCGTAAGAAGAAGCCCGATTCACCTGTCATCGTTCAAGAGGATCCTCTTATCGTTCAAGAGGCACCTCTTATCATTCAAGAGGCCCCTCCCACCGTTCAAGAGCCCGATTCACATGGCATACTATGTCGACATATTGATAAACCCTCTCTCGTGCCCGATATGATGGATCAGAGTTGGCTTTCGTATCAATTACCGGCCAGTACTATTCCTCAACACGAGAGGAGAACACTACCGGACACAATTATGGATAATACCCTTTGGCTAAGACCACAGTTGATTTTTATCTACATGAGCGGAGCCAGGGGTGCTACGCTGATATATGCAAAATCGACGATAATATGCATTTGTTTCTTGAGCGGTCTTGGTGGGTTTTTTATTAGGGGTTGAAGAGAATGACTATTTCGAATGGGGGGTAAGTCTT